ATTCTTCATTGTAATACTGACCTCTTTGGTTACTCAAAGAATCATCTTTTATTTGTGAGCCAACTTTAAAGATGGCATTGAACTAGGCGATTTGAAGGGGCAAAAACACATGAAACATTGTGACATATGTCTGCGAAACAGCATGTAAAGGCACTGCTAGAGTAACATTACAATCAGCGAAAAAAGCCCGTTTTTTATCTCTTTGTACCTAACCCTAGCAGAAAATTTTTCAGATCAATTCAATTACTATCTGATAGTAATCAATTTCACTGTTATCCATTTAGTAATCAATAATGGAAAAAGGTCTTTATAACTTCAAATCATTGTTTAGTAACTTTGATAAAAAGAAGTTCATTATTTTCAGGTTATTTTATTTTCTATAATGGATTCTACAAATAGTAATTGAAAGATCACAAAATGGAGAATACTTTCATGCAAAATGTGGTCTAGAAGACATAGTATATGATTATCTAAAATTACTCCACTNAAGGAAACACCTACATAATATGGGGCTAGTGGACACACCTCTATGCAGGATGTGTGAACAGGAAGATGAGACTGTCAGGCATGTCCTGTGCGAGTGCCCGGAGTTATCGTCAATAAGAGAGTGTGTGTTCGGCGAGTCTTGGCCTACACCTGCCGATATAAAGGAGATGTCTCCCAGCGACCTGTCCACCTTCCTGGAAAGGACAGGATGGACGACGACCTAGGAGGACAACTCCTCGGGAGGATGTACAATGGGTCACATGTGGCCTAAGTGCGTGGGCTTACACTCACCCTCCCTACTCTACAGATACAGAGAATTCACTTGGACACACACCAAAGACTGAGACAGGTATATTTTCTTTGACAAACGTCAAACAATGAAATGTTCAGAGATGCCACATTCGATAGTCTACTTATCAGAATACACACACAGGATGTTTTCCGAAAATTCAGTTTCGGTACATATCTCCATATTTAACTACTCACTTCAGCAGGTAGTTCAATCTCCATAGAGCTTTTGAAAATACACTTTGAGTGTATTTATAGTAAAATTTGTTCCTGTGGAAAATGTTACACAGGTGAAGCTTCTAGATGTAAGATAAAACAAACAAACAGATAACAGAATCGTAGATAGCAAAACAAGTTCATTCAAAAAATTAGAAAACTGAAAGAAATCGCATATATTCTTTCAGTGAGTCATAAGTCTACTTCAATCAACTATGTGAAATCGGATTGTACCTAGTCACCATTGACTTGGTTGAAAATGGAAATAAAACTGAATTCTCGGAAAATATCTTGTGTATTTTTATTAGTTCGGACTTCCATTGTCTAATATGATTGATTCTACTATGGCGTAAAATTAATCTATTGAAAACACTTTTCCAACACCAGAACAAAAATTACGGTCTCTCGACGCGCGTTTCGCTAACCAAGTTAGCGTCCTCAGGAGATCATTAACACTAAAATTAACTACTGTGTTAGTGTTTTTATAAGGTAGTGGCCTAACTACACCGGTTAGTATTACCTAATTACTACTAATATATGATGGAATCGGCCGATACTTGATGAAAATCCATAACTAACGTATTCCAAAAAGACTTTATTGTGAGATTTTCACTAAATTGTTTTACAAAAACGCAACACGTGTTTCGCCATACAATGGCTTCATCTGGCGTGTCTTTCGAAACACGTGTTGCGTTTTTGTAAAACAATTTAGTGAAAATCTCACAATAAAGTGTTTTTGGAATACGTTAACTACTACTAGTTTTTTTTCAACACCCCTAATCTGTTATGTCCTCTATATCAGTGATAATCTCAAATGTTTATCTGTTTTTCATTTAGAATTATTACATATAAGATCGAACAAAGGGCTGTTCGAAATAGGACCTCTGTTGCTTGTCCTAGTATGATTTCCTGAGGACACTAACTTGGTTAGTGAAACGCGCGTCAAGAGACCATAATTTTTGATCTGGTGTTGGAAAAGTGTTTTCAATTGATTCTACTATGATTCTGAATCTATGAAACCAATAAAACGTGAAATGAAAATACAATAAAACGAATAAAATAATCAAAACACAAAATGAAATCATCAATCATCTTCACCCGAAGAAGATGACCACAATCTTCTTCGGGTGAAAATGATTGTGGACGAAACGTCGTGAAGTAACTTGATTTAAAATCTTTTTTAATTCGTTTTTTAATTTTTTGCTTAATTTAATTTTTATTTTGTATCTTGATTATTTTATTTGTTTTATTGTATTTTCATTTCACGTTTTATTGCTGCATATAATTGTTATTTCAGCTATTCATTCTAATTTTATTTGTTCTTTCATAGATTTCCAATCGTATTAGAATCATATTACACAATGGAACTCCGAATTAATAAAATTCATAATGAAACATTGTGAACTACTTTCAAACAAATCTTGTGTATTCATGTAGACTATCGAATGTGATATTTGGACATTTTATTTTTTTGACATTCGTCAAAGAAAATATATGTCTTTGTCTGAGATGCTTTTACAAGTGATTTTTTTAGGTATTGAGAATGGAAAGAATTACTTCCATTTTTTCTCATATATCATTAAATGTTCGATCAAAATGTGTGAATATGACAAGTTAATCACTAAATGAACTATTCGGTGGATTATATTATGGAGATAATTTTCAAGGTAAACTTTTCTAATTGCTAGCAGATTCTGTGCTGATTTGGCCTCTGTTTATTTTACAGATTGTGAAAGATTAAGTACCCAAAAAGAACAAAGAAAAATTGACTCAATCGCAAAAAATGTCTTTCAAATAATATATACATAAGTATTAAGGAAAAAAATATTTTTAATAAAATTCATAATATTCACCTCTCCCTGCGAATGTTTCAAGAATACATGAAAAATGAGAATTAAAACTTGCTATGTTTTTATACCACTTGTATTTGTAACTAACATCCTACAAGGACGTTTTCAAATGTCCAGCAGTAATGTTAGTTACAAATACAAGTGGTATAAAAACATTGAAAGTTTTATTTATCATTTTTCATGATGATCTCCTACCACGTAATAATGGCTACATACATCAATTTATTTCAAGAATACCAATTTCTCAGGAATCATTCTCTGTGACATCACCTGCGCATACCTTGCAAATGATGAGTCATTTGAAAAAGCCCGCTAAGAACAGACTGTATCAAAATATTACTCCTCGTGAGTGAAGGACAGATCCAATCAAAACAGAAGTATTACCGGAAACAGACTGATTTCATCATCACTGCTTGGGACTTTGCTCATGAGATGGAAGTGTTACTACTTCATGCAGTCGAGCTACGATGTCGAATTCCGGACATACTGCTCTCTTGGATGGATCTGTTTTTCACTGAAAAGGAGTAACACTTCAATCACGGCCCATAGGTGATCACTTGATTGATTTGATTTCAGCATGTCCTGTTGCTGTATGAAAGAGAATCATCTGCAAGAATTTTATTTACAGGGAAAGTTACACCAACGTTCATTCTTTCATTCATTGCATTAACTAGGCATACAATGTTTTAAATTTCAGATACTCTATTATGTTGTTTGCGTCTATACTATTAGTTTATTTTACTCTCCTGACTGTGCCACTAGGTGACATACCAATGAATTCGTGTTTCTACTAGATATATCTATTTTATTTTCCTGACTGTCCACTAGGTGACGTACCAATTAATTTAGGTTTAGTTGTGATGGGGTGAGAATCCCATAAATATAGAATTTCTTTTTAAAAAAATCTTCAGGGCTCTTGAACCTGCAGGTGTTAATTTGTGATCTAGTTTACTGAACATGTTGTGTAGTCTATTCTAATGAAACAGGTCACTTCTTTACTTATAATACTTGAATTGAGTAACTCTTAGCCATTCATAGTGATCACATTGAGTTAATAGTTATTATTTTTTTAATTTTGCTATTACTAGTAATTGTGATAAGTATTTATTATAGTTGATACTTTTTATATTGCATCTAAATTTCGATTTCAGCATTACTCATCATTACTAATTACCATCAAAATGATATTTTTGGAATACTTTGTCTATGTCTATTATTTTATTATACATCCAATTTTAACTAATCTTGTTTTTTTTTTCTTTATATTTTATACATTTTTATACTTTAAAACTACTGAGATATTTTATCTTTATGTATGTTTATTTTCTTTATACTATTTTAACGTGTTGTACTGACATGTCCTATACGTTGTTAACGTCTCAAAGGATAAATAAATATTATTATTATTATTATTATGAGCCTCACAACTTGTTTCTGTTGAAAAAAAAGCAAGTGGCACCCTCAGCTTGCCGAGTGAATTGATATTATCATACAGACACAAAAAAATCCCAAAATGACCATATGCAGGTTTAAATCTACAACTCGCCATTTTTAAAGTAAGCTCCAGACAGTAATAAATTTTGGCAAATATCATTTTCTTTCTGTTTTACGTTATATTCTACTAATATAAAGTTGAATTTACTATAATGGCATTCGACACCTGTCTTATTCAACAATGTATTCAAGGTAGATCTGGAACATCTGACATAGAATGAGTCTACCACAAAAACTGTTCCCATACAGTGAGTGTTCATCCTGTTACAAGTAAAAAGGCAAAGTTGGATATAAGGAATTAGCACAGTTAATTTGCTAATGAAGCCAACTAAGTTGGTGAAAAGCGCATCGAGAGGAGTATTGAAGTTCTGGTGTATAACGACAGGGCTACTTTCACATATATATTGAGGTACATTGAAAATCTGACATCATGGGGTTCAATAGATTTCAGATTGTGTTTAAACAATACAAAAAATGTGTAGTTAACATGGTTTGACCTTCAGGAGACTTTTTTTTTCAAGTTGCTGTGTTATCATTTTCAAATGTGTGAAAAATGAATATCTTTTCATCACTGTGATTATATTACAAAGTTTGTTGGCAGTATCACCCGGATTTGTAATGATATATTACTTAAAAAAAAACAATATCCAAAATCAGATAACTTACTATCAAAAAGCATGCTCCTAACATGACAGCCTTCATTCTTACGTCCAGATCCATTGGAAAAGTGATTCCGAAATAATCGGTATCAGTGAACATTTCCCTTGCCAATCCAGACCATTGTTTTGAAATTTTTCCTACTTGGACAGATCCATCGCTAGACATAATTTTGAACTCGACGTCACCACAGATGCTCCAAGTACACAGAGGCCCTTCGATTCTGAGAACGGTATCACCTGAACTATTTTTAATTGCAAAACTGGGGCAGAAAATACTCCATTCCTGTTCTACTGTTCCAATTATTGTTCCTGGAGGAGATGATACTTCCATACTCTATTGAAGTGAAGAGAAATTTGTTAGTACAGTTACTGAAGAAGGTTATTGAGGATATTAATTTCATTTGTTTTATTTAGTAGCCACAATGTTAAATTTAAGTTTTTATAGTGTACTTTCCAAGATTGTGACCATTTGACACTTCACTCATTTTTTTTTCTTCCTTGTATACACTTAAAAAATTGTATACTTCCAGATCCTGGATATCACTGGATAATATCGGGGAAGGAAAAAAATTGAGGGAAATGGTTTGCTCTCTCTCTCTGATTCCCAAGGAAATATTGCCATTTTTGAAAGCTATAAAAATTAATTAGGGAAACAAAATTTAAATTGTCAAAAAAATTATTACGAAAATAAAATAAACAAATCAAATTATAAACTAAAAAAACATGGAAGATAATAAATTGCGAACTGGAAAGAGAAAAATATGCCCCGCACAGGGGATATCATCGTTTTACTTAATAATACTCGGATAACAGACAAGAACGAGATAGCAGAATTGATCGCAACAGATTTTTCAAACGCAGCAGTAAATTCCGTATTTAACCACTTCAACCATGCCTTTTGTACAATAGCTGAAAACACTGAAATATGTTATTTCTTTGAATCTCCAAACATTACCTAACACGACGTAACTATGACTTTAAAAGATATGAAAAATAAACTATCCACTGGTTTCAATAAAATGTCAATAATTACAATTAAAAATACACTCCCCCTCCATCACCAAATCTCTAACTTTCAACAGGACGGCGCTACGTGCCACACAGCTCATGCCACATTGGATATTCTGCACGAGTGATATGAGAGCATGATCATCTCACGTGGAGGTGATGTGATCTGACTACCGATATCGTGCGATTTGACCCCGTTAGACTTTCTTTTGTGGGTTTTTTTTAAGTCGCAGGTGTATGCGAATGAGTTACAAACCACAGCGGTCCTCAAAGCCAACATAACCCATGGAATCGGTCAAATTCAGCCTGATTCAATTGAAAAAAAATTTCGATATTTCATACACACCTTGTTTTTTAAAATTTAAAAATATGAAGCGCTTAATGAAAGAACCTATACGTCCTTGTAGAATTGACAATTTTTCAAACAGTAGAACTCAGTACAGTTGTTCCTTGTTTCTGTATTTTTGGATTCCAAGAGGTCTTTTGAAACAACTAATATTTCAATTTTTCTTTTTAAATTACAATATATGTATAATTATCATAAAAGGATTGAATATACTGCCAGGTACTTGATGTCGATTGAAGTTAACATGACTGGTGAGGGAGGAGCTGAGAAAATCGTAATTGGATCAGCGTACCTCCCTTACGATATAGTCCTCGAGTCCTGGCGGGGGGATTTGCTGTATTCCTAACGAACATTGTAATGGACGAATTACTGTCTTCTGGACCATAGTGGATATGAAGTACTGGGCTATATATATATATTTGTCATTCCTGTCCATATTAAGTAATATATAGTGAGAGAACAGAAATCATTCATAATAGTTTCTATTCCAGTTCTTAAACCCCCTACAACTCCTATATGAGGAGAAATATCTGTCGGGGTGTTTTTTTTAATATCTGGTAGAAATACCAGGCTGACCTGGAACCAACATCTAGAAAGAGTGAAAAGAAAGGCGGAGTTAGCACTGATGTTGGCCAGACTTATTAATAGGAATACAAGGGGGCTGAAACCAAACATAACGTATTGGCTACACATGAAGGCGTTTAAATCGATGATAATACACACTTCTTTGGTTTGGTGGCCAAAGGTAACACAAACTGCTTACAAAATCACTATTTTTAATTGATTCGATAAACATCCAAGATCGATTCAAATGTTTATACATAAATCAAACATGATTTTTGAATTTGAATAATAATTAATTGAAAAACAATTATAGTTTTGAAACCCTGATATGTTATATACTATTTTCACCTGCATATGCAAAATGGTCCTTTAATTCTATGGTAAGTTGGGTGATAATGGCCAACAGGTGAATTAAATTGTGAAATTTAAAAACTATGCATTAGTAATGTCAGTGAATAGATTACTTTTGTTGATTGTGTCGGTTTCAGGTCAAAGTAGGACAAAATATCGGAAAATCCGAGGCCTAATATCCCACACAAAAAGAAATCAGTGGACGACAAATGTGGTGACCCTGGAGACCAGTCAATACTGCCTCCAATCTAGTTTATATTGCTGATCTAAAGACTGACGAAAAATCATAGATGGAATTGAAACCTCTGGCGTGAAATTATTTTATAGAAAACACTTTCACCCATCAGAACAAAAACACTGTCTCTCAATGCGCGTTTCAATAACCAATTTAGCATCATGGAGAGATAATGCTCACTTGATTAGCGTTACGCTAACTTGATTAGCAAGTGTTGTTCTAGTGTGGAAATGTGTTTTTTAGGAGCTTCATCATATTGTTGACTTGTATGGCCTCCGCAGTCACCAGATTTGTCGCTACGTCCCTTGATTGTTTTTGTGGGAAAAGTAAAACCGTTAGAACACAATCAGCGTCGGAAGCAGATTTGCATGAAGGACTGATCAACGAATGCCGTCGAATCACTAAGAAAAGTTTCAAATATACCTTTATCATATCGAGACGGGCGATCATCAATCGTTAACTAACATTTTACTCAACCTGAAATGTTGTTTAAATATTTGGATATGATTCTTACCAAAAATACCGGAAAAGAGTATCTTCGCTCTGTCTTCGCTAACGTTTCATGGATGTATAAAGAAGCGAAAATTACATCCGCAAAACTTTCGCGAAGATATTGTTTATTTTTGTTATTATCCAATCCCTGGAGTCTTTTCGTAGACAATAAACAAATATACAATATATAAACAAACAACCTTGTAAAGTCAGAAATATTCTAGAATAAAATTCTAGTCCAGCACTAATAAAAAAAACACATTAATTTCACTAGACTATTCAAAAGTGTTTGACACACTAAACCATGAGTTATTGTTGTGAATACTTCACTACAGTGGTTTCTCTCGGAAAGCACACTGCAAAAGTCATACTTGTGAAATATCAAGACAGCGTATCAGTGTATTAGAGAAGGTAGTACCACCAGGCTCAAATTCTCCAAGCACATTTCTAATTTCCTGGAAGTATTCATGCTGACGATTTACAATTGTATAACCTTATTGAATATTCCAAAAATCATTGTCTACACTTGATTTTTTATCATGTTAGCTTTTGCTGCAGTTTAATCAGAAGAGAATACAAAAAATACAAAATTCACAAAATTCATGTTTGAAACTATTCTTTGGAATCCGGAAGTATGAACATATCTGCATTCTAGCTGTTTATATTACAAAATTCTTCACAAAAATCCCCACCTTCATCTTGACTTCCAGACACTTCATTCAAGACATGAGAATACCCTTACTTGTTATACCACACAACATTTTAAATGTTCTTTCTCATATTCTATAGCAGTTTCAATGAATAGTTTACCTTCGGATGTCCAAACTAGTCAAAAAATGGATTCTAATTCTCTGTTTTTGGAAGACTGGTGATCAAAAATAGCATGGAAACATTCTGGGGTGTATATATTAAATTGAGTTCAAAAAGATTTATCTCCGCATATATAGTGACATTTTGGGATTATTTGGAAGAGTAGAGGTGGGTTAATATGCGAATATTGATAGGTGAACTGAACGTCGCCTGAGTTTTAATATTAGCTAGACTCGTTTGTGTTGAATTTACAACTAATAAAAACATTCATTATTATTTTTCGTGACATCGACTGCCGAGGTCATTTAGTCACTTGTCGTGATCACTCGTTCATATCAGTAGTGCATTTCATTATTATTACACATTAATACACATTTCAAAGACACTAAAGAAATACCTACTTCAAAATTCTTCTCCACTCTATCACTGAATAGATGAAAATGTGTCTACCTATTCTCTACACTGATGGGCAAAGGTATGGAATCAAATAAATATTTATCTAGATTTCAGAGGCAACACAATGGATAACAGTAAGGGAGGTACATATTGCGTTTTTGACAAATTTTAAGAAAAGTCAATTAAAAATGTTAATGGGACAAGGTGTATTTCATTTCATTTCAATTTCCAATAGAACAGTTTTATATCATTATAAAATTTTGAGAAAGATAAAGAACTAATGTTGAATCATTCAGAAGTGACTTTTCTACGATAGTCCAGTGGTTCTGTACCCATACCAATTATACTCAAAATTCCAAAAGTTGGGCTAGTATTAGTAGATAATTATTCAATTGCAAAATTTTCATTTTGCCACTCAGTATTTTTTAAATGAAATGTGGAATTTTCAAAACCTAGCGGGTTTACTCAAAAGGTCTTTATTTGGTCTATTATATTTTGGGATAAGTTAGCGGTCACCATCTTACGAATTACCTTAGCAAAGCAGTCTCATGTTGTATCACAACTATACACTAACACATATAAATTATAGAAGAGTGACATAATTTGTACTTTTTTCTTACCTGCAAACAACATGGGAAACAACATGAATCGCAAGCCAAGGGCCTATGTAGGTGAATTATTTCATTTCTATAATTATCGAGAATATTCATATCAAAAGGTCTAAGTGGGCCACAGCAATTTCTGGTTAAGCAATCTGAATCTTCTACAGCATAATAAACTTTCTGACCTAAACTATTTTTTACAGTAAATTTATTTTTTGTTTCGAATCCAGTTAAAGCTAAAATAAAAAGTATGTATATTTTCACAGATAATGCTGGTGTTAGTCTGTTTATACCTTCAAGAACTTCCACTTTCTGATGTACTAATAGCTGATCAATCATAGTAAGGTATTCCAAACCTGGAGGACAATTGGGAATGCCTTGCGGCATATTCATCCAGCCACCTGGAATATAACAAAAGTATTTTAATTAAACATTTCAATACTATACTGCATTATTACAAAATCGGGCGAAGCTCTATAATTTGTCTGGGCATCTCCAGTGTCATCTGCATTACACCGGATAGGCTAGGCTAGATGGACAACATACAGAATTGTGCATATTGCCAATTGTACAAAACAAGCTTGTGCAAGGCATAGCAGATTACTGGTTGACACTGAAAATCGTAGTATTCTGGGAATAACCTCCTCTACTCGCAGGTTTTCTGAATCATCATATGAAGAGACTTAACCTGCCAGAAGATAGTGCGTGCCGTCTCTGTTAGGAAGATGATGAAACAGCAGAGTATATACTTTTTGCAATTCCAGTGTTTGGTAGATTCCCACTTTTGCCAACTAACCCGAGAGATAACTCACCAATTGAGAAGCTGGATTCGTTCTAAATTGAATTGGCGATTCCTAGCACGTCAAACGCGGATTCTATTACTTCATAATTCTACATGAAACTAATACCGATAATAAACTATTAATGAATGAAGAAATGGTCGAAAAATGTTTAGGAAATAACAAATTTTTCAGTGGAGATACAGTTCCATTTAATAATGTTCTTCAATAATCTTTAAAACTGAATATATGGAACACCATTCATCATCACGCCTGAGGTTAGATTTTATAGCAATAATAATTACATGAGCCATTTCGGAACATAAGTAGATATGGCAGGTCTATGGGGTTTGACATTAGTTTTCCATCAACTAGAAGTTGCCCCTCTAGGAACGGCAACGCCCAAAAGTCGAAACTTGTGTGAGTTAAGGATTAACAAGTGATTAAGAAAAATTGAAATTTAGATTGAAAATACTTACATTGAAAGATAAAAAATGACCTTAATATAGTTCAGTGCGTCATCTAGATACTTCTCTTGGTTGTACTATAGAGGCTCAATTTTTATTATATCTGGTAATTTACTGTAAATGTAGCTACAATTGTTGGAATATCACCTTAAAGCTCTTGAGAAAACTCAGGCTCCTGCTAAAAAGGTTACGATGAAATCCGAGATACTGATGTCAAGACATATAATTCCGCTGACTAACTGAATATCTTCAATTGAAGAGCATGTGGAGAATCGGTTTACAGCGTTTCAAATCCACAGTAAACCGTCTTTTTCATACAGACACGACCCTCAAGGTTCCTCAAGTACGTTTCTTGCGGTTCTTCGGCATGTTCATAATATAAATCTAACACTGGCCCCAAATATTTCATTTAGTATGTCATAAATATCATAAACGGACTTTATTTCATCTAAGGTACCATTTTCTCCTTTATCAACTTCATTAATACCAACTTTCACATTGGCTTCAGGACTGTTGACTTCAGTTATCAACTTTTCTTAGGTAGAACTAGTGATGGCAGTAATCATGTCATCAACCAATGATTATTAAATGCTTATTCTTCACATAATCAAGAGATCAACAGCAAACAGAACAAACAGGCCAAGAACAAAACCCTAGAAAACGCTCGATCAGGTATGATCGAGCGTTTCAGGCATATGAAACATATGAAAATCTGTCATACAATGTAAAATCATTGTCATATATCAAATAATACAATATACTCTTTTGAATCTATTTTTCCGTAAATGTGTTTGAGAAAACAATAGAGTTTTTCACACGAGTGATCAGCGCAGTTGGTTGTAATAAAATTGTTATCAGTAGTTATATGCATCCATTGGACGATAGCAAGTGAAAATCGATCGTTCAGACTGGGGCTTGAACCACCAACCAACACGGCAGTCAATTCGAGTGAGTGAACAAAGCACCCACGTCGAACCGCCTGGGTACCGACCGAAACACTGAACTGACAGAATATCTGAGTTTGAATTTAATAATTAGAATTTTCACCGTATGTCAGAAATAAGTGACAATATAACAATTTCAGTCATAATTATATTGTATAATTGTATATAGTATAATTCATCTCCTGATGTATGACCATCAGTTCCCTCACACCCCCATACGACTGAGAGGAATCATATTTGAACTGGCTTACCCAATAACCATTGAAGGTTATCCGGATATACATACAGTGGGGTCCAATGACTAATGGTACACACTTTTAGAAAAATATTTCAGTTCTGGTCTGTGAGAGAAACGTTTGTGTTGAATTCATTACCAAGGTAATAATGTACGAATAGCTTTTATGTAATTTTGTAAGTACGACATCGCTGCAGTATGAATTGCATATTTTCTAGTCACTTGAATCAACTACTGTAATTATGAAAAATGAATAAGGCATTCACAGGAAACAATCCTGAAAGAAAGGCAAAAAATTCAGAAGGAAGTATCTGAATATTTAAACTCGAATAAACCATATTCAATGAATAGTAATGAATGAATAAGATTGAAATAATCGGCTACAAATCAGCTCACGAAAAATTTGTGAAATTATAACGCACAAACCTTTGTTCTTCCTCGGTGTAAAATTTGAAGTAGCCTTTGGTTTTTGGAGATTTCTTCCGAAAAAAATTTCTCACAATTTTCAAAACAGCTCGTGGTTTGAATCTGAAAGCTGATTTCAACTCGGGCATTGTTCTGAAGACTGACTCGATATTCGAAAATATATCGGCTTTATCACTGCATCCCAAGACAAACACTATTTTATCAATGAAATGTATTGACAATGAATTTACTAACATTAAAAACACGACGAGATCGTGAAGCACATTAATTTACTAGTAAAAATGAATTTTCAATGTTATTCTCGAGTAGAAAAATTTCTTTCAATTCAAATGTATCACAATACATAATATCCCTAACTTTCAATTGCCTCAATTTTGAATTATCAAATGATTATCGACCCGCCCCGGCTCCGCACGGGTGCAATGCTGATACTAAATGAAACAGTGATGAAAAGGTAACTTTATTTCATGAACGCTTCTTTATCCCCCGCGGATGGTGCCCCAGTTGGGATATTTAAAAACCCTTTCTTATTGCACATCTACAACATAAAACGAACCTACATATAAAATTTCAGCCTCCGAAAATAAAGAGGTACGGAAAAACAGTGATGAAACGGTAACTTTATTTTATAAACGCGCCTTTTTCCTGGAGGCTGGCGCCCCAGTTAGAATATTTGAAAATCCTTTCTTATTGCACAACTACAAAATAAAACAAATTTACGTACAAAATTTCAGCATCCGAAAATATAGCAGTACGGAAAAACAGGGGTGAAAAGGTAATTTTCATATGTAAACGCGTCCCTTTTTCCTCAGTTGGGATATTTGAAAATCCTTTCTTAGTGTGCATATAAGACCTAAGAAGCACCTTAACACCAAATGTTTTGCTTTAGTTCGGAGAAACAGAGATGAATGAGTGAGTGTTAAGTGAGTGACTTTCGCATTTATTTTAAGTATTTTTTTAAGGACAAAACACAAGCACTACAGGAAAATCCTTAAGGCGCTCTCAGATCGGTGCCTGTGCGAAAGTAGCGATTCACATTGGATTTGAATAGCTGGAGATTAAATCCATTTGGAAAAACATTCTCAAGAAGTTTATTCACATACACGCAGTTCTCCAGTTGAAAAAGTTCTTAAACAGTGAAGTTTGAGGTGTACTGAGTTGAACCTCTAAACGATGAGCAGCCACAGTCCGTCGCATATTTCTGATATGTACCGCTCTTGGTAGAATCAAATGTGCCAAGTCACTTGAACACTTCCCGTGAAAGTATCTATAGAATAGAAACACATCTCCAACCTTTCTTCGATGCTACAAACTATCAATGTTGCAAGTGACGTTCGCGTCCCCAATCAGGTATAGAAGATTCTACCCTACGTGACATGTTAAATGATAAATATTGATAACAATAATAACGGGATGAACCGCATATAGTTGATTTTCGTTTTTCTAGAAGTGAACTTTTTTCACAAATTATTCAAACATAAAATATACTCCCCAGCTCAGTCAAGAAAGGTGCTTCTTTAGCTTCTTCAGAGTAAGATTCGAATGACGAAAAGTTTTGTTAGTCATGGAATAAAAAGGTGATAGTCTCAAATACTTAAAAGAAATACGAGTATAACATGAAAATGAACTGTCTACCTTGGAAGTATTTTATCAGTCTAGTGAAAAAAATTCTGGGCAATAAGAAAGCTGAAAACTTTCAAAAAGCACACTTCACTTAGAATTATTTTATCGAAAATTTGAGTGCAGTAAGTGACGAGTAAGAAGGTTTTGGCAAAACATCAGGACAAGGAAAACAAGATATCAGAGTCGCTAAGCTAAACCCATCTATGTTGGATGACTACTACTGGCATAAAAAAATGATGCCAAATAATACGAACTGAAAAATGTGTGGACAGATATATCTCACATTTTATGAATATCTATTGAATGAATATATCAGACTGTTTTCCTAAAGCTCATTCTGTTACAACAAGATAGAACTGGAATATCTGGCATAGAATACATACAAAACAAGCCGTGCTTGTTGAATGTTAACTTAGCTTGTGAATACGACAAAAAACCACAAAAGAAGTTCCATACCTAATAACTACATGACATTTGCATTTAACAACTATAAAACCACATGTTTCATTATACCATGGTTTCTTCATTTGTATAATACTGACACGCTTGAAGAAGTTATGGTATAGTGTAAACTGTTATGTGTAGTTCAATGTAACTTTAAAAAGTTCGTATTATTTTCAATTACGAATCGACTTATTACTTTTATTAACCGCTAGAATAATCATAAACTTTATTCAAATACCTATAATTTTTTTTGGAGAAAAAGCTTCTTCATTCATCAAAACAGTGGGAAACCTCCAAAAAAGAAAAGTGAAAATAACAATAATGCAAACTCGCTATCAAAATGTGTATATCATATTCAGAAATTTCTTTCAGAAATAAACTGGAAGAAAACCCCTTTCGAAACAACTACTTTTCACATGAAAATTTAATTACAAGAAACGAAAAAACTTTTTCGAAACAACTTCTTTCATATCAACATTTTTCACAAATAACTAATTCCTCCTAAAAATATTCCCTTTTCAATTTGAATGAATTTCCTAAGTTAACTGACCGTATGAATGTGAATGTCATCGTGACAAGAGCAGAGCTGCCTCTTCTGGTGACATAAAGTTGGAATGTTATGAAAGAAATGAGTACTTCGTCTGGTTATTTTATCCAAAACGGTGCTGCTTAGGTTATGAGATATATGTCTTATCCCCGAAACTTCAAAGTACACCATTAAAGATGATAGTGTTCCATGTAACTGACGCTTTGTATTTTGTTTAATGATGGAAAAGTGGAAAGGAAAACATTATTTTTCCAAAAAACTAATCTATCCTAAAAGTATTCCCTTTTCGAATTATATCTGTCAGAATCTTACCTAACCCGGGTATATCTCGTTCATAGATTACTCTTCAACAACTGCTTGAGAAAGTATAGCTTTATCGCTGATGACTGGCCTATCGTTTCTTATCTTAGAGAATACATACACATAGTTCTGTTCAATATCTGTGGCAAATAGCATTATCTTTCAGAAGGATGTTAAGAGTTATTTTTACATCAATCATTCTTTATTATTGTTATTCATCATGTACACCCGAAAACAATTTCAGTAAAACTTTATCAATTATAACTAAAAAATACTGTACAATGAGGTATATGACCCCATCAGAAATTCGTTTACCAATATGTTGACAGTAATTATTGATTTTTCTCCTTTAAGATACCTATTTCTTCAAAAAAGATTCAATTTTATAGACAACATATCTACACTGGATGTGTAGGTATAAATGTGAATTATATCCGACAGATATTTGTGCAATTTTTCCCACAAAGTAAATTTTTTCAGATGCTTCTTATTCATCTAGCAGCAGGATATCGCTGATACCAATCGAATGATCACCTTCATGCCAGTTTCGGAGTATTATTACTCGTGAGTACAAGACAGGTCTAAACAAGAGATCAGTGTCTCCGGGACTCAACTGACTTCATCTCAGCTCGATCGCTTATAGCATATACCAAACCCTCGCTTGATAGGACCTATCCTAACTACAATGAAACACAAACGGCTAATTTTCGAGAACAAAGTTTCAAGGGAGAAAGCGAAGAAACATCCCACGTGCGAAAACTCTTAAAGAAATCAAAATATTAATTTTGAAAGAGATGAATGTTTCGAATTTTAATTGGAAATATTTATTTTTCAATACGTATGAATTATGTTTTGATTTTTATTTAAACAGTTTACAAATCTGCTATACGTGTTTCACTTCACAACAGCTTCTTCAGGCGTGTTCAATACCTTATTGGGGCTGTAGTGAAACACGTGTGGCGGCGGTCTGTAAAACTGCATTTTCCGTTCCCAGGTTAACAACATCTAGATTGTTATTTTTTTAATTTCACATGTGGATGAATTTGACTCAGCGTCTGTTATACTTTGCGGTGTTGGAATATTTATCACACCGTGAATTTAAACTGGTATACGCTGTTCTTTCAAATTATTTAATCAATCAACTTGTATTGATGTTCCAATTAACAATACCTTTATACTGTTAATTTTCTTTGTCTTTCAAAACAATCCCTGTTCTGGCGCGGTAGATTTCCCCAACGTTTTGTTAACTCAAAGCAAAAGCGAAGTCTCATCAATACCGTAGGGATGTAGAAAATTCTAGCGCAACAACCGTAGAGCCGCATGTTGGTTCAGGTCAGGAAGAAATTACATAATAATAGCAGAACATATGGATACAGCATAAATGTATTTTTTTAATAGCAAGCCCATTTTTTATGCATAAATGAATTAAGCAAGAAATTTTGCATATAGTTACGTTATTTTGATTTGAGGAGAAAGCCTGGTTTCCATGTTATTCATAATTTACCTAATAAACAGTATCCTTGAGACGTAGTTAAAACAGTAAATAATTGGATGGTAATAATGCATAATTACGTTTATTCAAACAGCAGGCATAATAGAATTATTTACTAAGAGCAAATACACTAGATCTTATACAAGGTATTCTTCATGGCGGCACCAACTTCGCAATATTTGAAACGCAAATTTTTTTTCTAGTAGAACACCCTGTGAATAGAAGTGCTGTATTGTCAGGTATAATTCTCTAAAAATTTTGAATTATGACATTACGTTCTAATGTTTGTCGTTTTATCGCGATAATGAAAATTCCAGTAATATCATGATTTTCAGTTGTTCTATCGAGGAAGGCTATGACTGACAACAGTAATCATTTATAAATGTTCCTGTGAGAGGAACCGTTGGAGTTCCTTTTTTGTTCAGGAATAGATAAAAGTAAATCACTTTTGAACTCCGGTATTTCACATCAATTTTTATCATATTAGACAATGGAAGTCCGAACTAATGAAATGCACCAAGAAACATTGTCAACTACCTTCACACAAAGAGTGTATCCAGCATCGCAGATGCCATTTTATGCTGATGTTGCTGAATCGACCTAAAGACGTCAGTTGCTACATTTCATACAGTAAACATCTCTGTATTTACTAGTTTTTACAGTTTGTACTTGAAATATATTTTTTTGAAGGTGAACGTTGATATATTGGCAGGTTTATCATAATGGCAGGTTTATCAGAATTGTTTCGAATCGTTCATGCAATTTTCGTTTCTACAATTAACTGATTTTCGATCCGATATCAACTCGGTGCATCG